TGTGTAGAAAGTTTGAGTCGATTCCGAGCTCAACTTTTCGAGTTATGGCCTTTTTAAAAAACGGGCCAATTTTTGAAAATACCCAAGGCTATAGTCCATGGTTTTTTTCAAAAAATGGCTCCAAAATCACCCTAAATTTTTATTACATTTTCTGATACGTATTGATGTCCTTATGCTGTGTAGAAAGTTTGAGTTGATTCCGAGCTCAACTTTTCGAGGTATGGCCTTTTTAAAAAACGGGCCAATTTTTGAAAAATACCCAAGGCTATAGTCCATGGTTTTTTCCAAAAAATGGCTCCGAAATCACCCTAAATTTTTATTACATTTTCTGATACGTATTGATGTCCTTGTGCTGTGTAGAAAGTTTGAGTCGATTCCGAGCTCAACTTTCTGAGTTATGGCCTTTTTTAAAACGGACCAATTTTTGAAAATACCCAAGGCTATAGTCCATGGTTTTTTTCAAAAAATGGCTCCAAAATCACCCTAAATTTTTATTACATTTTCTGATACGTATTGATGTCCTTATGCTGTGTAGAAAGTTTGAGTTGATTCCGAGCTCAACTTTTCGAGGTATGGCCTTTTTTAAAAAAACGGGCCAATTTTTGAAAAATACCCAAGGCTATATAGTCCATGGTTTTTCCTAAAAAATGGCTCCAAAATCACTCCAAATTTTTATTAGATTTTCTTATACGTATTGATGTCCTTATGCTGTGTAGAAAGTTTGAGATGATTCCAACTTCAATTTTTTAAGTTACAGCCATTTTAAGAAAACGTCAAAATTCTGAAAAATACCCAAGGCTATAGTCCATGGTTTTTTCCAAAAAATGGCTCCAAAATCACCCTAAATTTTTATTACATTTTCTGATACGTATTGATGTCCTTATGCTGTGTAGAAAGTTTGAGTCGATTCCGAGCTCAACTTTTCGAGTTATGGCCTTTTTAAAAAACGGGCCAATTTTTGAAAATACCCAAGGCTATAGTCCATGGTTTTTTTCAAAAAATGGCTCCAAAATCACCCTAAATTTTTATTACATTTTCTGATACGTATTGATGTCCTTATGCTGTGTAGAAAGTTTGAGTTGATTCCGAGCTCAACTTTTCGAGGTATGGCCTTTTTTAAAAAACGGGCCAATTTTTGAAAAATACCCAAGGCTATAGTCCATGGTTTTTTCCAAAAAATGGCTCCGAAATCACCCTAAATTTTTATTACATTTTCTGATACGTATTGATGTCCTTGTGCTGTGTAGAAAGTTTGAGTCGATTCCGAGCTCAACTTTCTGAGTTATGGCCTTTTTTAAAACGGACCAATTTTTGAAAATACCCAAGGCTATAGTCCATGGTTTTTTTCAAAAAATGGCTCCAAAATCACCCTAAATTTTTATTACATTTTCTGATACGTATTGATGTCCTTATGCTGTGTAGAAAGTTTGAGTTGATTCCGAGCTCAACTTTTCGAGGTATGGCCTTTTTTAAAAAAACGGGCCAATTTTTGAAAAATACCCAAGGCTATAGTCCATGGTTTTTCCTAAAAAATGGCTCCAAAATCACTCCAAATTTTTATTAAATTTTCTTATACGTATTGATGTCCTTATGCTGTGTAGAAAGTTTGAGCTGATTCCGACTTCAATTTTTCAAGTTACAGCCATTTTAAGAAAACGTCAAAATTCTGAAAAATACCCAAGGCTATAGTCCATGGTTTTTTCCAAAAAAAATGGCTCTGAAATCACTCCAAATTTTTATTAATTTTTTTGATACATATTGATGTCCTAATGATAATAATTATAACAAACCTTCTTCTGTTTTTCACTGATTACAATTATTTTTCTTGTTCTCTGATACGAATCAACAGTCGATGCTAGTTTTGTTTCAAAATGGCGGAGCATCCCTCTCACTGTCCTCCTCGCCTCCACTCCATTCATCTCAAGGCTGGTGCTCAGTGAAGTGAAGGATCGTGTGCTTTTGGCATATTCTGCAGCAGCTGCTTCAAGACCAGAGAGTGAGGTATCACAAGATTCTAATACAACCTTTAACTGATGGAGGGACAAGGACCCAATGTCAGCTGGAACTGATGAACTGAATGAATTTAACAGTCTATAACACTGCAAAATGAATAAATAAATAAAAATGAATAAAAATAAAGGTGCATGTAGACTGTGCTTACTGATTCGCTAGTTTCATGCAGTTCTGTAATCATTTTAAAAGCAGCTGTTCTTTTATCAAGCACAGAGACCCTTTCATCAATCCTCCTGTCCACTTTACTGACAAGTGACAATACTTTTTGCTTCACACTAGACGAGGTATCCTCTTTAAGAGTCTCTGATACTCTCTTCAGCTGGGCTATTGATGAGTTCAGTGACTGGAGGAACTCAGTGTGGTCCCGTAGCTCAGACCTAGCAGCTGCTACCGAATGAGGACACGAGGAGTGATTCTTAATGAACCCGTCAATCCTGTTTAACAACTTCTGCATTAACTAGAAAATATAGCAAATATTAATATTCATTTATTTATTTATTTATTGTACATGTACCTGGTCTGTGGCGTGTTCAAGGTGAGTAAACTCTTCATCAGAGGTGTGGCGGTTGCTAACGGTTACCAGTGGTTCTACTGATTGTCCTTCTTTCAAACCAGTCCCTCCCTCTCTCTTCTCCTCCTCTCTCTCCTCCCCCTCTCTCTCCTTCTCTTTTATTCTGTTCACGGTTACTGCTACTGTTTCTGTTCGCTGGTTGTTTGTTTCTTCTGATGGTTCCTTGTAGTTGTTGTTGTTGTTGTTTGTTGTTTTCTTTTTGTCTTCCATTTCTTTCAATAATCCTCGGACTCGTTCACTTTTAGAAGCCACACCCACTGAATGAGTAGGAGCCACACCCACTGAATGAGTAGAAGCCACACCCACTGAATGAGTAGATTCATCAGATACAAGAGGAGGCTTAGTTCCTTTCCTTGCTCCTCCTCCTCCTCCTCCTCTAGGCAGGAGTGATTCCAGTTGAACTAGTTTGTCTCTTACAGCGTCGGCAAGATCCCAGTCTGAGGTACCTCCTGGGGACTTGTGGAGGAGAGCAATGAGAGAGCGACCATCAGCCACCACCTCCTGATACGAGGAGTCAACCTCTCGCTTGGACCCAGGGGAACATGAGGAACCTCCTTTAACATAATCAGTCATCAGGGTAGTCAACTACAGGAATAAATAATAATAGTTAATTGGTAGTTATTAATAGTTATTAATAGTTATTAACAGTTAATTACATTAATAACTTTATTCATGAACTGATCCAAACTGGTCAGAACTCTCTCTCTATTGTCCACTCGTATGAGGAACCTCTTCCAAATGTTATCAACGTCAGTAGATCTCTTCTGGACCCGAGAGAGGAGAGGGAGGGAGAGGGGGCTGGTGTCCCCTGGAACAGCAGCTGCACTGATACTGGCTGTCAATGACTAATGTACATGTAATTAATTTAAAAAATTAATTAATTATAATCTTACGTTGACGTTATCTTTGAAAGTCTTAAATTCATTGCCAGTTTCCTTGATTGAGGAGACACTGAATCTCAGGGAGCAATAGGCAGTTAAATGAGGGAGACCTTGTTCCCGTATCCATAGCAACACCTAATGTAATTATTAATCAATTAATTAATTAATTAATATTAATTATCACCTCTTCATTCGCCTGATGTACGCTGATCAACTTTTGGTGATTCTTCAGTTCGTGTCTTCTTGTTGTCAGTAATGATGTTAACTGAATCTCTTGATCGATTAGTGATTTGTGTAATGTATCAACGTATTGAACTGATTCCGAATCAAAATCAGCTGATAATGATTGAAGCAATTCCCCACCTAACTCTAAAAAAAAATTAATTACTGACATAAATATTCCCAACAGCTGTTATTTTAAAACTGTCACCTACTTTAAGCAATAGTATCAATACAGTACCAGTACTTACTAATGCAAATATTGACAGCTGTCTGTAGATCCCCTCCCTTCTCCTCCATGTTATTCAAAACTTGTTCTATCTCACTCCAGCTGCTCTCGTCACTAAACAGCCTCTCACTTCCCCAGTACTTGATACTGGACTCCGCCCCCTCGTGTACCGTCTGTATCCTCTCCAGTCGCTGGAGCAGGCTCCTGATTAAGGCAAAGGTTGACTCAAGCTCTGAGGATATCTCTTTTAGCTCAGCCTGAAGCACTTCATTAGGAGAGAGGTCACCACCTAAAGTCTCTCTTTGATTAACAGCCGAAGCTAAAAGACCTTTAGCATACTCTCTAGTGTGCTAAAGGGGAGGGGCCAGTAGTTATTAATAAATATGTGTATGTACAAGTACTTACGTCAACTTCTTTCTTGTGCTCCTCCAGTTCCATTATATAGTTCTGAGTGGCTTCCAATGAATCACCAATGACAGTAGAGCGGCCTTTTAATGTATCAAGTATCTCACTTAGCTTATGGATACTCTAAACAAATAAACAAATAAACAAACAAACAAACAAACAAACAAATAAACAAATAAACAAATGCAATGTAAACAGATCTTACTTCTTTCCCGTCCTTCTCACAGACCAGTATCTGTGAGTACTGGTCTAGTCTCGCATATTTTGCTAAAGCAATTTCTTGTGATCTCCGAGCTTTATCAGTGACCTCATCTGTTGTACGTGAGATGTACCGCAGGGAACGCCTGAACTCTGGATCACCTAAACAACAACAACAACAACAACAACAACAACAATAATAACAACAACAACAATAATAATAACAACAACAATAATAACAACAACAACAATAACAACAACAATAATAACAACAACAACAATAATAATAACATGCTACCTTGAGATACTCCAGTGTCCTTAAGTGCTTTGACTAGTTCTTGTCCGTTCAAGAGGATAGCTTCAGCTAGTTCTTTCAGTCGGTTGTTGTCATTATCAAGAGATTTGATGAGCTCCTCACAGTCATCAATATCAGTCTCACTATTCTTCACTTTGGTCCAATTGACTGTCAGTTGATCATACAGGGTCCTCCACTAGTAACAACAACAACAATAATAATAACAACACCCACCATTTTAATAATTTACCAATCACCAGTAGTACAGTACATGTACATTCAGTGAACTTACCTCTTCCAGTCCTCTGTACATACAGACTGATCTTGTTACTAAACTTTGACGTTGTTTATAAGTTGATATAAACCTGGTTCAATAATTATTGTACTTTCAATAAAGTGCATGTACAGTACCAGTACCAGTACCAGTACCCAGTACCAGTACCAGTACCAGTACCAGTATGTGGTGTGCAGTACCAGTACCAGTACCAGTATGTGGTGTGCAGTACCAGTACCAGTACCAGTACCAGTATGTGGTGTGCAGTACCAGTACCAGTACCAGTATGTGGTACCACGTACTTTGAGTATTTCTTGTGTAGTCTCTTGAGCTCTTGGTCAGTGATAGACTCATTAAAGTCTCTCAATACATCAGCCAATCTCTTTAGCTCCGTCACATCTTCCTTCATACTCTAATTAATTAATTAACAAATAAATAAATAAATAAACAAACAAACAAACAAATAAATAAATAAATAAATAAGATAAATCTCATGTAGTTGTACTCACTTCAACTTTATTAGTTAGTTTGTTTAGTTTTTCCTCCAGTAGGAGAGCAGCCGCTAGTGATTCCCCAATATCAACACTTCCCGCCTCTTCCAATCCCTTGCTCTTGATCCAATGAACCACCTAACAACACAATACCAACAAGTATTAACCGTTACACCATTAGACCTAGCCACACAGGTACAGGTATAAGTACAGGTAACTGTACTTTGTTGGTTCCAGTTTCAAATTGCTTCATGAGGTGTTTCTCATTCACTAGTCGGTACTTCTCCTGGTAGAGGTCCATCAGTGCTGACTGCTGCTGACTGGTCAGTTGAAGTATCTTATTGACCTTTCCTAATACACTAATCACTTCTGGACTCATCCTAAATTAATACATTAATAAAGTAATAAATAAATATTAAATACCCAGTAGATCCACTTGTAGTCTCAATGAGTTCTTTAACTTCAGCTGCTAGTCTATTGACGGGTTCATCAGATGATTCCACTCGTCCTTTCAGTTTATTGAGTGACTCTATCTCTTGTTGTATGGAGTCTCCTCCTCCTGCCCCTCCTCTCCTCCCTCCGGCTGGTCCTGGGGGGGACGCTCCCAGTTGGACTGACTTTAAATGAGACTCGTGATCATTGAAGGACTCAAGATACAACTGGTAGGCAGCTGTCAACTCCTCCAGTTTCTAAAATAAATAAATTAATTAATTAATAATACTGCTGATACATGTACATGTACATGTACATGTACATGTACATGTACATGTACATGTATATGCATCAGAAATATCATTAAATAGAGAATTCTCTCCTTTTCATTTTTGCCAAAATTTGGTCAAAGTCCCTGTACTATAGTACAGGGACTTTAGCTCAATTTTTAAGTAACTTCAAAAATTTGTAAAAAATCAAAATTTGATCGGAATCAGCTCAAACTTTCTGCGCAACATAAGTACATGTATATGTATCAGGAAATGTAATAAAAGTGAGGAATTCCCTCCCTTTTACTTTTGGCAAAATTTGACCAAAATCCCTGTACTATAGTACAGGGATAAAAGTCTGATTTTGAAGAAACTTTGAAAAATCATAAAAAATCCAAACTTGATCGGAATCTGCTCAAACTTTCTACACAGCATAAGAACATGTATATGTATCAGAAAATGTAACAAAAATTGAGAATTCACTACTTATCATTTTTGACAAAATTTGGCCAAAATCCCTGTACTATAGTACAGGGACTTTGGCCCCATTTTCGAGCAAATTAAAAAAAATTCATAAAAAACCGAAGTGATTGTAACTAGCTCAAGCTTTTCACAGTTACAAACTATTATTATTATTATTATTATTATTATTATTATTATTATTATTATTATTATTATCATTATTATTATTATTATTATTATTATTATTATTATTATTATTATTATTATTACAATTCTTAGTGCTATCCATTCATTATGTTTATAGTTGATGGCTCCTCCCAGTTCCACTGGAATCTGACGTCCATCAATATGACGCAACAACTTATCAGTAGAACTAGCTGTAACAATCTATCAATTAAAAAATCAATAGCCACACCCATCATTAATAGCCACACCCCTATTAACAACTCACAGTAAATTCAAGTTTATCTCTTTCCTTGGAAAGTGAGAGTGACACTGACTTCTTCTTCATAAACTGATTAGGTTGAAGTACATAAGCAACATGTACAGCACCTAATGCAACACCATAATCATGTACTTCCATTACAAAGTACCAACAGTACCAGTAGTACCAGTAGTACCAGTAGTACCAACAGTACCAACAGTACCAGTAGTACCAGTAGTACCAATAGTACCAATACATGTACCAATACATGTACCATTACATGGGTCAATATGTACCAATAGTACTAGTATTGTACTATTACATGGGTCAATATGTACCAAATACACTTCCCACTGTTGTAGTAGCTACATGATGTACTGTACCTGGTAGCGCTTCTTGGGTGGTCCTCAGTATCAGTTTAATATCAGGCCATGACAACCAGCGACCATCAACTATCACCGTGAAACCAAGCTCCAGGGCTTCAGGACTAGTTATTAATAGTTATTAGTGGTTATTAATAGTTATTAGTGGTTATTAGTAGTTATTACCTAGGTATGCTGGACAGATATTGGAGTGTTTGGAGTATTTGTTTGTGATCATATTTAACAGCTGGACGGGCAGGGAACACAATAATCTCCCGCCCCATTTCATCTCTACCACCTAAAGAATAATCATATAAAATATATCAATAAGAGAAAGTATATACCTGATAAAATGGCTAATTTTAGTTCAAGAATTTGTTTAATATCCTGAGCACTTCTTGGAAAAGAAACAACTAAAAACAAACAACAACAATAACACCTTGTTTATCAATTAAACATCTTGTTTATTAATTAAATACATATGTTACTTCCTACAAGCTATTACTGAACTGTGTCTTATGAATATCATTAAAAGTTCATGAATATTAGATAGCTGGTACTGAACTGTTTGGTACTTAATTCTCAGTGGAATTATTATATTGACAATTTATAGCATATGTACCTCTCTCTCCCTCTCTCTCTCTCTCCCTCTCTCTCTCTCTCTGTAATAATGAAGAATCACTTCCACTAAATACTAGAACAAAATATGTACACGCACTGAAACATTATTATTATCATCATCATCATCATCATTATTATTATTATTATTATCATCATCATCATTATTATTATTATTATTATTATTATTATTATTATTGTTATTACTATTATTACAGTGATAGAGTTACCCCCACTCAATATTACATTACAGTCACACACAGTCAGTCAGTGTGTGTGTATAAACTGATGATATTATATGAGGGACATTACATGTACTAATGTATGTGTGTATAATTGAATTACTGAATGAAATATGGTAATTAATGAGCTGTTTATATAAGAGACAGAGGAGGTAGGGATAAAGGAGAAAAAGATAACAATTATTTTAAACATTCCTAAGATTTTAACAACTTTTTAGACACATTTCCACCCACTTATCAAGAACCCTCTCTCACTCTCTCTCCTCCTCTAATGTAGCAGAACCTCCATACATTATTATTATTATTATTATTATTAATTGATTAATTGATAGATAATTAAGTTTGTCCAACAATTAATTAACACAAAGAGACAAAGAGAGAGAGTGAAAGGGTTAAATATTACAATGGAGCAATGTTGAACATCAATTAATAATTTCTGTTTGATTAGAAAACATGACCAAAGACATAAAATATCTCATAAATATAAGAACACAGCTATAATACACTTAAGTATAATTTTAAAACATGTACATGTAAAAATGTATTTAAGATCATTCCCATCACTAATAATCAATTGATACACATACATGTGCATGTATTAATGCCCTGTTACAATAGATATAGTGCTTATTATAATAATAATAATAGTGTTTGTATTACCATTGTTTGTTTATTAATACATATGTACATGTACATGTACCATACCTGTATGCTCAGTGCTGCCCTCTACTGCTGCTAGGTTGGTCCAACTGTCTGACAATAAAGAAGAAGACACAGGGCCAGTAGCCATTACCCCTCCCTCGCACTCGCTCTTTCTTTCTTGTAAGCAACTGCCACTACTACTCGACTTTCTCTTGTTGCAAAGTAGGCGTGGCTGGTATTTGCAATCTGTGGGCGTGGTTTGGTTTAACCACGCCCCAATAGAATGGGCCAATGGGTGTGTTCACTAAGCTTCTCTTTGAAGTGAAGCGAGTGGAGAGAGAAAGAGAAGGAGCTGATATATAAAGTACTGTTGGTTTATAAAGGAGCCTGTGCACACAGGAGGTGAGTTAAAGGTCTAGGAGCTGATTAATAAGAGGATGCCCTGTACAATTAATGTACATGTATTTATGTTCTGGTTCATGTACAGTTATTATGATTAATTAATTAATAGCTTGTGACTGTATCGTTTACATGGGTACACTTTTGATTTTTCTTTTTGTTAAATTAATGTAATCACAAGTTTGCAGTGTTTTAATTTACGACATCAGTGGGTGTGTATATTAATTAATTTATTATTATTATTGTGGTCTCTGCTAAATTTGTTTGTTTATTTTTATTTACTTAATCCTCTTGAGACAAGCAATTTGATTTTATAAAGAAAGGACTGATTGATCCCGTATTACCCTACGTATGTCCAATTATCATAACATCCCTCCCTCCCTCTCTCTCCCTCTCCCTCGTCCCTCTCTCTTTAGGTCAATACATTATGTCTTCAACCAGTCCTCCTCCTTCATCTGAAGGAGGTATGGTCTCCTCTGAAGCCACACCTCCTAACGGTACTATTCTTATAGCATCAGATGTTACCAAGAGGGAGACAGGTTCTGATTCAACTCCTGATATCATTCACAAATCAGCTCTCCCGGTACTGTTGATCGGAGAGAGAGAGAAAGAGGCTGAAGAAGAAGTCAAATCAAAGGTGGTGAAAGGTCACACTAGAGGTAGTTCAGTGTCCTCAACTCCTGGAAGCCATCTTGGAACAGTATGTTACCTTTACTGTTGTCCTCTTATTGTCTGTTTATGAAGTAGTGTGTGTTTCATTAGCTAATGGTTTGTATGTGTGTACTAATCACATGTAAATGATCTTCCATTGTTAGTAGCACTAGTATTGGAGAGTGTTAGTAGTAGATGTGTGTGTGTGTGTGTAATTGTCAGCTTGTTGATGTACTCATTATATACATAATGACTCTCTCTCTCTCTCTCTCTCTCTCTCTCTCTCTCTCTCTCTCTCTCTCTCTCTCTCTCTCTCTCTCTCCCTTTCAGTGTGAGACTAATACTACTGGTACTACCACCAACTCAAGCTCTTCTTCTTTATCAAATTCTTTTTATTCTCATGATGGGATTGTTGCAGAAACAGTATCACACCTAATTGTACGTGTTATTATTATTATTATTATTATTATTATTATTAATTGATTAATAGAGTTCTGGTGACCGTACCTCATCAGACCCTGTCCTAATGTTGGCAGCTGCTGCTTTAAATGATAAATCAGACAATCCAGAGGACACTGTAACCAAACTGGTACAGGAAGTGGTGTCTTTGAAACTGGTAATTGATATATTGTTGATTATTGTTGTTTTGTTGTTGTTGTTGATATTTTTTTGTTGTTTAGGAAATGATGAAATTAAAAGAAGAAAACGATAAAATGAAACGAACTCGAAGTGACATGGACGAGGAGCTACACACTTTGACTGAGAATCTCTTTGAGGTTTGCTGATACCTTCCAACGATAAATAATTAAATGATACTGATCCTGTAGGAGGCGTACAAGATGGTTGATGAGGCCAAAGGTGAGCGGTTTACAGCTGAGAAGAGACTGGCTGATGCAGCTGGACAGGTAATGCTCTTAGACTAACATTGGTAAGATTCCTTATTCTCTTCAATAACAACCAGTTGGAGGCTATGGAGACTCAAGTCTCAACATTACACAATTTATTAAAGACTCCCTCAAAAGTCTCACCATCACAGAAGCACAAGAGACCCTCCGTTAAGAAGATTGTGAAGAAACTGTCCCGTGGTAGCAGACACCACTCCTCTTCTAAAGTAAAGGAGCAGCAGCCACTGATAGAACACAAAGGAAACACTAAGGAATGGATACTGAAGGAGGGAGAGGTAGGGATGGAGCAGCTGGTATCAACTGACGTATTCATATTCTGTTTTGTAGTTACCATCAGGTGATTTTACTTTTTTTAAGACCTGGTATGATAATGGATTATCTACTGTTGGTGGTAGCGGTAATTATTATGACACCATTTTAAATAATAACATACTCCCTTGCCTTCAGTTCACAAATAAAGAGGTGAGGAGTCAATTAAATAATTAATATTATTGATTATATTAATAGTTATCGGATAAGGTCCATGCAGCTATTAAAGGAGAGAGTATTGTATTGGAACCAGTGACTGGTGAGGTGTTGAAGGAGGGGGAGGAGTCAAGCACTCCAGCTGTTAAAAAGTAACGCTACATGTACATGTACATGTACACGTGTACTCTCTTCCATTAGGTGTGAGTTAAGTGGAGAGGAGTCTGTCCCTTGTACTTTTAAAATGCGTTTGAGTGAATCCTCTGGCTGGATATGTGTCACAACAACCACCAGAGAGAGGGTATGTCCCATCAGTGTCAGTATCAGTGTCAGTATCAGTATCAGTGTCAGTATCAGTGTCAGTGTCATTAACATGTACTCCTCCTCTCTCTGTCCCTCTAGATTGTTAGTGTCTGTGATTTTTACACTTTTATAAGTTACGTACAAAAAGGAATAATAAAGAAAGAAGGTTAATTAGTTTTATTTATTTATTTATTTATTTATTTTATTTATTTTATTAATTAGTTACTGATGTTTACTGGAGGGTTGCTAAACTACGTGCAATGATGTGTCTATCTGTCCTGTCCCTGTCCCTACCTGACACTGTCCAGTGACTAATGGCCACTTCCTATTGATGACTTCTTGTTGCTGTACAGAAATGAACTTATTTTTATTTTTTTATTATTAAAATTATATCGAAATTCATTAACTACTGGGTGGGGCGGGTGTACCGGAATTATTCTAATTAAACGAAGTACCAGCAATTTTATCGTTGGTGTTAACACAATGGCGACTCTTTTTAGAAAAAATGAAGAATGTTAGTCATAAAATGCTTTAAAAGTATTTGATAGTTATTGCTTTTAGTGCACGAGCTACAGAGAGAAGCAGTGAAGGCTTTACAAGTGGGAGCCATACCCCACCACGGGCCAGTGGAGCTCCAGGAGGAGGAGAACTATGTGATGCGTAAGAACAACAATGGTATTTGTTTGTTTATTGTTTGTTTGTTTGTTTGTTGTTGTTTAGTGGTTGGAGAAGAGAGAGTACGTCTTCAACCTCACGCATTAGAAGATCCTCAAGTGCAACACTTGATAAAAGTAAGTATCACTGGCACTGTAGCTGTTTACTAGAGTCCATTGGTTTACCAGAAATTAGATTTGAACTGAGAATTCTCCTCTTTCATGATACTTTTTCTGATACACATTGATGTCCTTATGCTGTGTAGAAAGTTTGAGCCGATTTTGACTTCAATTTTTCAAGTTACAGCCATTTTAAGAAAACACCAAAATTCTGAAAAATACCCAAGGCTATAGCCCATGGTTTTTTCCAAAAAATGGCTCCAAAATCATCCCAAATTTTTATTACCTTTTCTGAAAGAGCATGTACATGTCCTTATGCTGTAGACTATCATTAAGTGGGTTAATGAGACTCTTGAGGATCGGAGGATTATTATTCGTGACATTGCCGAGGACTTTTATGACGGACAAGTCCTCTCTGAGCTGTTAGGTAGAGTACCAGTAGTGTATGTTAATTAATTAATGACACACCCCTTTAGAGGTCCTTACTGGTCAGAAGTTCATGGCGGCCGGTGTGACGATGAGTGTTGTACTCCAGAAGGCCAAACTGAAAACTGTTCTTGATAAAATAGACAGAATATTACAGATACATCCTGATGACCCTGTCCACAAGTGGAATGTGGAGTGTAAGTGGGAGGGAGGGTTAATATTAATCATTAATTGATTTAGTTATAACAATAATAATATTTTGTAAACAGTAACTGTATTTAGAAAGTTATTTATGACCAACTTAGGATCTCTGTCTCTCTCTCCCCAGCTATTCATAGTAAAGATGTTGTCTCAATTCTTCATTTGCTCGTTGCTCTGGCCAGTTACTATCGCTGTAAACATCACATTCCTCAAAATGTCAAAATAAAAAGAATTTATTTAAAAGTACCAGAATGACTGTATAGTATCATCAGTGTTAGTTTTAACTTGTAGCAACATCAAAATCGTCTTGAGACTAAACTGTATGAAGAAGAGATCACTAGCAGGGACTATGGGCCAAGGTACACTTTATAATAATTGTACATTTACTTATTTTATTTTATTTTATTTTATTTTATTTTAGGGCTCCTGAGCCTTCAGCTGATAAAGATGTTTTTGATAAACTATTTTCTGAAGCTCCAGAAAAACTGGAAGCAGTTAAAAGAGTAAGAAAAGGCTGATTATTTTATTATTATTATTTATTATTAATTTTATTAGTCTTTGTGTCAGTTTGCAAGTAAGGTATTGGCTGAACTTGACATATTAATAATGGACCCTGAGAATCAAGTATGTATGACCACTCCCAGTATGACCCCACCCACTACTACTCCCCCTCCTTTAGTTCCACAATGGCGTTAACTTCATTCTACTCATGGGAATATTGGAAGGATACTTTGTACCATTGTACTTATACCACCTCAGTCCAACCACTGTGGATCAGAAAGTAATTTAATACATTATTATTATTGTTGTTGTTATTGTTTGTTGTTGTTGTTGTTATTAGATTAATAATGTTCAAATGGCCTTTAAGCTAATGGGAGCAGCTGGACTAGCAGAAGCAACCACCAAAATCAATCCACAAGGTGATTAACTAATTATTATTATTATTATTAGTTATTGTTAATTATACAGATGTTGTTCAGCGAGATTTGAAGAGTATACTTCGTGTTTTGTATGCCATTTTTACTAAATATAAAGCTCAAGTTCAAGCAGGGACAGTTGGACCTCCCACCCGCCCAATATCAACCGTATCTACATAATAACATACAGTACTCCTTCATCTTGTGTAGTGTTTAGTGGATTTTAGAACAATACATGTGATCATTAATATTTTAATTGTCTTCATTTTATTATTTTAAAACAACTACAATTTAGCAAAAATTAGCAAAAAAAATACTGGGGCCTAAGGCTAATAAAAGGGACAGTCACACTTTAAAGTTCATCTTCTCCTCTTCAGCTCATGCAGGAGACATCACGTGAGCAGCGAGTCCCGACTTGCCTGCACCAAAGAGATCCTTGCATGCTGGCTCTAGCTCCTGCATAGTCAGGGGGAGACTTGGAGAGAGCTGTCTTCATGCCTACAAACTCGTGCAGTGTAGCACAGCCCATGTTGAAGGCCATATCGGATACTGCTGATTGAGGGCCTGATCCTAACCTACTCCAGTTTGATAGCCATCCTTCAGCACAGCTAACTGCTGTATCCATGTCTTGATTGAACAGCCTCTCAATCTGTCCATCATTGAGACATTGACTCCCATTAAGAACTGCATCATAGTTGGCTCCTACTCCTTCTATCTCTCCTCTTGCTCCAAATTTCTTCAAGTTAAAACCAACTCCAATTGTTGGTATACCCAGTGGGTCTTTGTAAACACACCTGTAGTATCCTTCATTCAACTTCTCTCTCTCATAAGAATTGCATTCACCAGCAAAAGATACAGCAAGAATAGCAAAGAGGACAATAAGTTCCTTCATCATTAAGAGCAGCAGCAGCAATGGAGCAAGTGGTGATGGAGATTAGCTGATGTATGCTGAGGTCAATCTGGTCACTCTCTGTGCAGAATCAACTTGCTATTACCATATATGGTGTACTTAGCTTGTCATGATAACACTATGAGCTGTATACTCCTACTCGTGTACACATGCAGCATGCAGTATACTTCTTATGTCTATCTGTTTGTTAATCTCTCACACACTCAGTGAAAGTGAAAAAGTTTAGATAAAGCAAACACACTAAACAATAATTCCAAAGCAAAGGTTTCTCTCTCGTAATTAGGAGGACTCTCGGACAATGCTAACTTCAAATTAACTACTTATTCACACTCAAATCCTATAATTTAATTTTAAATCAAAGCAAAAAGTTAGCAAAAACACTATAATACAATAGTCCATGAAAGGGAAAGTCACACATTTTTATGTTTCCTTCTAGCCGTGCATGCAAGGAATATCACGTAACTGGCAGCGATTCCCCACTTGTTGACACCAAACTGAATTTTGCATTTCTTTTGCAGCTGCTTCATAATCAGGAGGAGACTCAGTCAGTGCTGCACGGAACTTTACAAATCCACGTAGTTTAGCACAGCCCATGTTGAAGGCCATATCAGCTATGGCTGATATAGGATCTGATCCTAAAGCATAATAGCTTGATCCCAGCCAGCTTTCAACACAGCTAACAGCCTCTGCCATATCATCATTAAACAATGTCCTTATCTGTCCATCATTTAGACACTCACTGCCATTACGGACTGCATCATAGTTGGCTTCTACTCCTTCTAAGGCTTGTCTTGCTCCAGGTTTGTTTAAATTAAAGCCAACTCCAACGGTTGGGTTACCCTTGGTATCAGTATAGACACAAGGTTTATAGCCTTCATTGAGCTGCTCTCTCTCATAAGAATTGCATGTGCCAGCATAAGATACAGCAACTAGAGCAAAGATAAGAACCAGTTTCTTGAACATTATACAGCAGGGGCAGGGGAAGAGGTTAACTTAGTTTGTGGTGATAGATGTATGTGAGGTCAATAATCTGGCCACTGTCTGTCCAGAATCAACTTGCTATTACCATATATGGTCTTATCTTGTTATAAAAAAAAACAGCATTAGCCGTATACTCCTACTCGTGTACACAGTGTCTCTGTTTTCCCATCTCTTGCTATTGAAAATGAAAGCCAGCTATAGATAAAGCAAACACACACTAGAGAATAATTTATCTCATGTCAATGTCATGTCAATTTAATGTCAAAGGATTAGACCTAGTAATAATATTCTAAGTACTTTAAGTACAAAAAACAAAAATTAGCAAAAAGTATATTCTAAAGGGAAAGTCACACTCATTGTTTTGTTGTCTTCTTCCCATCAGTCATGCATGCATGCAACGTCATGATCACAGCGAAGTCCAACCTGTCCACACCACCTTGAATTCCGCATTTCATTTTTTGCTGCTTCATAATCAGGAGGAGATTTAGTCAGTGCTGCATGCAACTTCACAAATCCATGTAGTTTAGCACAGCCCATGAAGGCCATATCAGCTATGGCTGATTGAGCGTCTGATCCCAAAGCATTCCAGCTTGGTCTCAGCCAGTTTTTAGCACAGCGATGTGCTTCTTTCATATCATCAGAGAACAATTTCCTTATTTGTCCATCACTGAGTCGCTGGCTGCCATTAAGGACAGCCTCATAGTTAGCTCCTACTCTTTCTATTTTCGCTTTTGCTCCAGGTTTGTTTAAATTAAAACCAATTCCAACCGTTGGGTTACTTTCGGTATCAATATAAACACGACGTTTATAACCTTCATTAAGCTCTGTCTGGTAAGAATTGCATGTACCAGCATAAGATCCAGCAACTAGAACAAAGATAAGAATCAGTTTCTTCAGCATTATACAGCAGTGAGAGACAGAGACAGAGAATAATTAACTCAGTAGTAGAGTAATTAATCAATTATCGGACTAATCAAACTTCGGACAGTTATATTTTGAAAACTAAACATGATTTTCCAGTGATTTTTGCACTAGATATAGATCATTACAATATCTGTTTGCATGGTAAAAATCAAAGCATTACCTTCTTTCTTTGTAAAGATATAATTTGCTAAACACACTTCGTAGATTCACACAATAATCGGCCGTGTTAACTCAATTTTCGTCACTTAGCCACAACGAAGCAAGCTTTGTTCGAAGAATAGTTTTGTACCACCAGAACTTTAGTACTGACTGTCTTCTTCAAATACCACTGT